GGAGAAATGGAGGACGGAGAAATGGAGGACGGAGAAATGGAGGACGGAGAAATGGAGGACGGAGAAGTGGAGGACGGAGAAATGGAGGACGGGGCAACGGAGGACCAAGCAACAGATGACGAAGTAACGGATGACGAAGCAACGGACGACGAAGCAACGGACGACGAAGGAACAAAGAAACCCCAGAGGAAGCATCGCAGCGCCGAGGAGGACAAACAAAATAAAACCCTCCACGATGCAGACATATACGAGCGCCTGGGATTTTTTATAGCCCTTAAGATGATGAACGAAATAAAAGGGCTTCCCTCCGTCGATTCCAACTACCAGTGGCTGCCCTTGTTGTACATGGCCTTGGGAAATGACTTGGCCGTTTCGAAAATTTCCTTGAGCATTGTAAAACCGTATTCCATTGCGCTCATTAGATTGCTGAGGGACTTTTTCAGCGTTGTCTTTGACATTAAGAAAGTGGAGAACTCTCCAATGGATCACTCCTACGTGATCAAGTGTGTGGGAATAGGCTATCGCAACATTTCGAAGAAGACCTTTTAGCGGGTACTGGGTGTTAGCGGTGGTACCTGCAGGGCTGTTGGGACAGCTATCCGAGGAAGAACTCTTACACCCATGCCTCAGTCTCCCCCGAGTACGAAGCACACCGCCTATTTAGTCCGCCAGAGTGTCTGTGCCGAATGATGGAATTTTTTCGTTTTTCATTATGCCATTGAGGCATTATGCCATATGCTAGTCTGCCATTTTGTTGGCTTCTCAATTTTTCACTTTTTTGGTTCATAGCAAAACGAGTAAGCATCAGCTGGACGTCGAAGAGGGGCTACACATATGGGTGCCCGCTCCAACGTTTGAACATTCGAACGTAAACGTGTGAATTTGTTTGTTTCCTATTTCTTTCGTTTTGGACTCTCCTCTTTTGTGCCCCCCTGCGGGAAGAATACTTACGTATAAATTTGGGGAAGTTTGGCCCCCCTGTCTAGCACAAACACTGTAATGGTGTAGCAAAATAATGCAAAGCAAACTGTAGAGTGCAGCCTAATTGTAGGTGGTCTCTGCACACATGCTTCTGGACCCTCCTACTTCTGATGTGTGTTGGTTTTCTTTCCGGTGTGCTCCTCCGTGCAAAACATGGGGTGGGTTATTACGGGAATGTAAAAAGGAAAAAGGAAGAAGCTGAGCAGGCCTTTTCGAAAATAGCTTCCCTTTCTTTTTTTTTTTTTTTTTTTTTAACAAAATAAGGAAAATTTCCTTTTAAAAAGACGAAAATGAGAAAAAGTTCTTCTTTATTGTTAAAAATAAATTTAAGAAACTGTTACTAATTTTAAAAAAGTCTAAAAAAAAAAGCATAAGAAAAAGGAAAGATCTATTAAAAAGGAAAACGTTAAAAAATGATAAAAACGTAAAATTTAAAAATTTTCCCATTCATGTATAAAATGAACGACAAAAAAGAAAAAAAAAAAAAACATTTTAAAGGGGATTAATACTAGGATAAATAAACGACGCTGTGAATGTATTGCGATGAAACTCTATGGGGGAAAAAAAAAGGAATAAAATGATAAACACGATAAATAACCAAAAGGGGAAAATATACGTATGGGTAACATAACCCAATTTTTTTTTTATGGGAAAAAAGAAGTATAAATGCAGATAACGCAACAAAGAACTGTATTGAAATTGCGATATCATTATATAGGAAATAAAAAGCGGCGCAAAATGGAGCAAAATCGTCATAAGAGGGGGGTAAAAATGGTAATAAGAAGGCGGACATGCGAAAAAGACTGCCATAAAATTGCCGAAAAATGGACATCAATTTGTCGTAAATGGGGGGATATGTGCCGTATGCGGTACGCGATCAAGGCGCGATGGATGAACGAGAAATCGTAATGGAAACTTCAAAGGCGGAATATTCTTATGACTATGCAACTATGAACATATAAGCATATACACATATAGACATATGCGAAGATTGATGCCCCTTTTTTTTTTTTTTTTTTTTCTCCTGTACGTTGTAGAAATGTGGATGTGCGTACATATAGACACACACTGCACACACGTTTCTCCCTGTTATGCATTCAATGCAAACTGCTATGGTAACTCTCTTTCTTCATGTTTTAAGTCAACCATCAATGGTGTTACGCTGCTCGGGAGGCGCACGAGTGTTCACATATGCGGGTATTCGCGTGATGTGTGTAGACATCGGTACATCCTTCATCACATGCACGCACAAACCGCGTATGTCACAACTAATTATGACGTTGCACGGAAATGTGTCTCTCCATCCCAGGAAGTAAGCTGAGCAAATGAGCCGTCGTCCTCGGAATCAATCATCTCTGGATATATGGGCTGTAACTCAGGTGACAAATGAGCTTCTACAAAAGTCGGTACGATTCGTAACCAATAGGGAACAAATCGTCATACACAAATGATCATATGGAAAAAAAAAAATTCTTTCTGGTCCTTGTGCTCACAACATTTCGCTCTTCTTCGAAAGTTGACTGGGTTCTCTGCTCACTGCAGCTCGGAGCCAGGTGTTCATAGAAAATACACGCCAACTGGTGCGCATCGGATGATGGTTCGTAACTCACGGTGGGGAAATATCGACCAATCGATGGACAGACAGACAAACAAACAACCCCTGCGTGCCAACTTAGGCTTACACTAACAAACACACAAACGGAAAAGTAAGCACAAAGTTGGGTACCCCCACTATACTTTATTAATCTTTCTTTTCTTCCTTCTTTTTCTCTTGAAAGGATTCCTCAAAGACATCCTCCTCATCTTCATTGTCATCTTCCTCATCCGCATGGCTATCATCCGTCGTATTTTTTGTTGACTCCACGTCAAATTCGTATTTTCCCGATTCAATATTCTTCTTAGACTCCATAGATTTTAATTTCTCCTCCATGTATGATGACAAGTGTTTCAAAGTACATTCTTTGGGTAGAGGAGGTACATTGTTGGAGTTGATTCTGGTGTACAACATGCCCGACTTTCCGATTTTCAGATAAGGCTCTGACACCCAGAAACGATATATTTGGGACTTTAATATTTGGTCTATTTTGGCTACAATCAAACCTGGGTCTTGTCTCAATTTTGTGGAGAAGTTGTTTTTGCACTCGTTCAGAATACCGTGCAAGAATAAGAGTGGCTTGGACTCGATGGCATAAAGGGTGTTGTTGTACACGGCAATGGTACACTGGTCCCAGATTTCTCGTAGGGCCTGCACGGTTATGGGTAAAAAAAACAAAAGGGATAAAAAAAGGATAAAAAAAGGATAAAAAAAAGAGAAAAAAAAGGGAAAAAATGGAAAAAAATTATGAACAATTCACACTTATTTTTCCACATTTGGAGCGTCCCCCATCATACATTTCGCAACATACAAACTTTCAAATGCGCATTTACCTTTTCAGTTTTCTTCTCAATGGCGTTATCTCCTACAATTTCTCTTACGAGTAGTACCCACCATATTCTGGACCATCTCAAAACTTTTCTATAGCGCACTACTTTTTTGATTTTATGAATAAGTTTTGTGACTGGATCCTTCACACCATGTTCATACAAATCTTTGATGGTTAAACTGGAGGGGGAAGGAAAAAAAAAAATGAAGCTCACTTTGTATTCGTCACACAGATTTGAAAAATATACTGGGGACTTAGCACCGCTTGAGGGAGGCTTCCGACGATGTGCCACTCCGTCCAAACTATTGCTAATGTTAAACCATGCAGTGCTCACCTAATTGGGTCCTTGACTATGGTTGTCAAGGCGCTTGTTGCCGCTAAATCACTGTAGCCGTCACATTGCACAACATTAGTGGTCGTGTTTTTATAAATGATCAGAAAGAAAAGGAGGGAGAAAATGTAACTGACTCTCATTTTCAACACCGAAGGGGAAAATTAAGTATTAAAGTAAAAGGTGTAATTAATTTAGGCGAATGGGATGTCTTTCGACGTCTATTTTATTTCACAAAATCAAAAATGGAAATGGGCGACGATGGAGAAAATACGTATGACAATATTAATAAAACTGCTACCAACGTGTGTGTATATATTAAAGAATATCCGTCACAATAGCGCGTTAAGAAGGTATAAACATACACATACGCTAGTAATGTATATGGCGATGAAACATACAAATTTATAAATGTTATAAATAAGAGGAAAGGCAGGCCCTGTACGACGTATGCTGTAAAAAAAAAAATGCGCCAGATAGATAATTTAAAATAAGGGCGGTTTTAAAATGGCTTCATATAATATTTTAAATACGGGTGTGAAAAAAAGAAAAAAAAAACGTTAAAGCAAATAATTATGTTTAACTAAAAAAAAGGAAAAATTAGGTAATGAAGAGAAAACTCTAAAAAAAAAAAAAAAAGCAAGGGATCAAAGAGATAAACGAAGCATGATGAAAAATGTATTTTATTTTCTTGTCGTTTTCGATTTGCATGCTTATCACAAGGGAAGAAAAAAGAAAAGAAATTCTCTTCCTCTCGTTGATCATGGAGCAAGGAAAGCTTTATGCGGTGAGGAGAACCAGGGGTAAAAAAAGTCATACGCTCTTGTATGCTGCATATGGTGTATGTACTGCATGTACTGCATGTGCTTTGTATATATATATATGCCCCTCAAGCGGAAGCGCAATAATTGCGCTTACATGGGATTTGCAGGAGAGCTAGGGGAAGGAATGTTCACTATGGAGTCATCACATTTGCTACAGTCGGCAATTCAAAGCGTTCGCATCAGCGGGCATAGTACACTATAGCGGTGTAACCACGGGATGTAAACAAATAAATGAATAAAAAAATAAATCAATAAAAAAACAAATGAATAAACCGATAAATATATTACATTTGCATTTACACTTATAATGTACATTGAGGGCGTACATGCATCACATATACTATATATGCATTCTCTGATTACTTGTAAAAGTTGGCGCGAAAAAACTTTAAACATGTGTTAAGTCATCTGTGATTGGCAATAAATAAAACCATCTGGTACTTATTCATTTTTGCGTTTTTGTTTTTGTACAAAATTGTTCAATGATCTGTTTTATGCGGCAAAAAAGAGTCAACAGGTGATTACATTGTGATGTAAAAATATAATTTTGACGTAAACCAAGCTTAAAAAAATTTTTTAAAGTGCTAGCATTGTCGTAAGCGCGATGATATATATATAATAAAAAATAAAAATAAATAATACATTCAGCGCACAATATATGGAGCCATGGCACGTACCATTATGAGCAAACTGGTGAGGAAGAACTTACCCTATTTTTGTCACATCGCCTTTACATCACGCGTAAATATGTGCTGTATATGAAAGTACAATACACACTTATAGGAGCAAACACAGCCATGTCGCAATGTCATCGTGCCGCCAAGTCGCCATGTGACACTGGGCACCCTTCTTCGTTTTTCTTAAAGCGTTCTTTTTGTGCGAAACTTAAAAGCGTAAGCGCGCTCACAATATGTACTATTTTTAGAATAAAACCGTTGTAAAAATAGCCAATGAAAATTTTTTTTTAAATTGTTGTTAACCATTCGACTGCTAAAAATAATGAGGCATAAAAAAAAAAAAAAAAAACGACCTTTCTTTTTTTTTTTTTTAATTCACATCTATAAGACTGTTATTATGACATAATTAGCGGCAACAGCTTAATAATACCCCCTTTTCTTTGCTGGCTTTAACTCTTGTGTTAATTTTTTTTTTTTTTTCTGCATGCAAAGCGGGTTTAAAACACACAAATAGGGAGCAATTAAGTGCCCTGGAGTTGCTTATGCGTTAACTGGGGGGTAATAAATTGGTGCTGCACGTACAGGTATATATAATATATGTACGTGTACTAGTACACGCACATACAGCTATGTCATCACTCGGCGCAACTCAACAGCGCGACCCGCACCATGCACGTATTAAGAAGCGTAAGAACCCTGCATGGAGGAATTGCGCTTTGTCCTTTACTTGCCATAGGTGTGAGGTGCGCTTAGAAAAAGCTGATCTAATCGAAGGGAGGGGGAGAGGGAGATAAAATGCAGAGGAATAACGGCGGGGGTATGCTGAACGTATAAAAAGGCTGAACACGCGCTAATATGCTCATTCATAGATGTACCTATACATAAACATATATATATGTGCTTATCTGTACGGGGGCACATCTGCGCTTAGCAAAACTAAACATTTCCCTTCATCTGAGTTTTCTTTAAACATTAAAACGGGTCAGAGAAACACACAGGGTTCTTTTTGTCGTGCTGATTGCACGCGGAGAGGGACCTTTCTGCGGCTTAAACGTTATAGGGTTCTACCCCTAATGAGAATGTTAGGCGACGTTTCACTATGTCAAATATGCAAGTTTATATATATAGTTAGTACATATATATATAAATGTGTTATGGAAACGTAAAAAGGGAAAGATGCTGCGATGCTTACTCCCCCATGGTTGTCTGTGAAAGCCCTCCCTCTCGTTTTGCTCCTCTCCATTTAGTTTTAAACTAACTTTTTTTTACCTTTTAGATCTCCTAACAAAATGGGGCTTTCTCAAAGTTTTTCTCATACCTCAATTTCTCCATTCATGCGTCATGAAGCGCAGCGCAGCATAACGAAAGACACCACGGCATTTTTTCCCTCTTATACATGCACCCACGGCGTAAATCACTTTGCCCCAGTTGTAAATAAAGACAGTTTCATGCACTTCCTTCAAATAAGTACGCGCACTATGAAAGGGGGGAATTTCAACAATGGACTTATCCGTAAAAACATAGACGTAGATCTTTGTACAAACAGCATTTTAGGAAAAGTTCATCCTGATGTGGTCCCTTTTTGGTGCCACATTTTTTTTACTTAAATATTCACTCACCTATGTAACATCTTTTCCAATAAACTTATATGTTGTCTCCGTGTATCCAGGTGGTGTGGTAATTCGTATGGAGTTGTTTCACGTGGGAGGGTTCATCCACAACGTTTCCGACAAAGACCACCAATTATTAACATAAAACGTTCGAAAAATGGATAGGAATTCCATCGAAATTGGCGAAGCGGATTTGTTACAATTCTGCCAATTGTAGTAAGCCCTAGCGGGAGTACTTTTTCGCAAAAGTGAGTACTGCGAATGGCAAGAAAAAAAAAAAAATGATTATCACTTAGCATTCTCCGTAAAGTCCCATTTATAACTTAAAATTTGCCCCTTTCTTTATGATAACACCTCCGCAGAAATGGAGCAACGGGTATGCCTTCAAAATGTACTTTTCACTTTGCCAAATTGGGCCAAGCAGAATTACGAACTGTGCCCACAGCGGCTTGGAAAAGAGCAACATTTTGTAAATCCTGATACGTTAAAGGGCAACGGATTGTAGGTAGCGAACCTTCTTAGAAACAATTTCCCAAAGGTGTAAAACTGAACTTTTGTCTGGTTCGAAAAATTGCACACACCCACGTTCACTACGTAAGGGAGCAATTTTGGGGGGAAAAAAAGAGGCGCCTTCCCGTCAATGTTAGCAGAGGTATGTGCATATATACAGATTTATAAATATATGTAAATATGTGTTGATATTTCCCCCCTTTATCCTATATTTTGCATTAAGAACAGTGACAACAAACAGGAAAAGGCAAATGTTATAATATCGTCTAAGTGTGCACAGATATGGAATTTTTTTTTTTTTTTTTGATTTTTTTTTCCTTTTTTTGTGTGACCTTATTTTATTTCCCCTCGAAGGAATGCCGCTTCGGAAACCCTTCTACAACTTGCGCGTGTAGCAACTACTTGTTTACACCTCATTTTAATTATACGCACATTGTGCAAATCGTATTGGAGTGTATCTCTCTCCCCACTGCTACATCATACATTTACACATTTTAAACTGGTTGGAACTTCCCCTACATGGGCGGCAAATCGTTTTACTCAGCGGGAGTACTTTTTTTTTTCTTCTTTGGAGAGAGGCATATCAAGAAAAATACTCATACATATTTGTGGCTATACTCTGTGCAATCCCCCACGATGATTTTTTTAAAAAGCGGTGATGAGCAGTGACGTTGGAGGGTCATACATGAGTCCTTCTTCACTGAAGATGTATATACCCCTCCCCTAAGACATGGCTTCCCTATCGGTATGATTTCTATACACCCGATGGTACGGCGAACATGCCGCCCACAAGTACTTGCCCCAATCGTTTAACCCTCTGATCGTAAAAACGGAAGAGCTTAAAATGTATTGACGTGGAGGTAGAAAAAAAAAAGAAAGAATAAAACATAATGAAGGGGTCATATATATGCTCCGTGTCAACATGTCTCTACATAAAAAATAGAAGCAGAATGCGGCAGGTAAAGAATTCGCAGTCATTTACCTTCACATATCAGATTGGTCGTAAAAACATGTGTCCTCACGAATTAGATAGCTATGCATATCTGTTCGCGCGTGGCTTCTACTTCGCTTCGAAACGGATTGTACCTAGCAGCGCTGCAATCGTGCAGGGAGCGTGACTTCATTGCCTCTGACCATGCAGAGAGGCAAGATGGGCGAAAAAGAAGGAGCAAAAAAGAGGAAGAGAACAGATGTACGCAAAAATGTCCTCCCCGGATGTTCCCTCCAAATGTTCCCCCAAGTGTACACGTAAATAAGCCGAATGAAAGACTAAGGAACAGCGAATGGCACAACTGCGCACGCGTAAAATATACCCGCTTGGTAAAAAACGCATGGGCGCACAAATACACATAAGGGGAATAAAAAAATACACACTTTTTAAATGGCGAAGGTCCGAAAAAGTGTTTGTGAAAGGGGAAACACCATCAGAAATAAGTGTTTCCCCTTGCGTGAAAAAGATACTGCGAAACAAGAATATGTCTTCTTCGCTTTCGTCCCTCAGTCTCTCTGCTTTTTTTCCTTT